ACCAAAGTTATGCATGTGTGAACCTCAGGATGATGTCAGTTACTGCAAGTGCACTATGCTGATTACAGACGTGCCCCATGGCCAGGAAGCATGTTTGAGCCACAACTGGCTGAGGCCAAGAACGGGCTGGACCAAGCCTCCGTAAAGCACACCTCAAGCAAAGGTCTCAGGACACTTGCTGAGAAGCACACGCAGTTGACCTGTGGTGTCACAGAGGAAGAAGTCCAAACCTGGGGCAAGCAAGCTTCGCGTGATTTGATTGTCAAAGGACTTCCTGAAGCGCTGGACTCGCACGACATTTTCACGACTGGCGATTGGCACAGGTGCCATCTCACACTTTGGGTTCAGTGCGCCTATCAGGTTGGAAAATGCCGGCACACATGCGCAAAAGAAATGATGCTGCATCACTCGGCTTGGTCTTTCAGACTCTTGTCCGTCTGGTCACTCTTGTCTGCTGCCTTCTCCGCAGGCTGATTCTTGTCTGTCTGGTGACTCTTGTCTGCTGCCTTCTCCACACGCTGAATCTTGCCGCAGAGCTTCTTGCGTCTGCCTTCCAAGAAGTCGATCTGGTGATCCAGGCTTTGCAACTCGGCTTCAAACTCACGCTTCTTGAACAAGGATTTCAGCGATGCCCAACTCTGACGCTCCGAGTGCTGCAAGGTGATCTCCACCTTCACTTCCAGTTTGCTCACGTAGCCCTCTGGATACGGGCCGTGGTAAAAGACCTGAGGTGCAACTGCTCATTTGGCAGCGGCGAGAAGAACATTCTGTCACTCTCGACTATGCCCAAGTGAAGTTAAGAGACACACAAAGGACTCACGCTTCGGTCCCTGTACGTCATACCGCGCGGCTCTTCCACGAAAGCCAACTCCGTCAGATTAATCCTGGGCGCACGACGTCGGTAACACAGGAGAACACACACGAAAGAACGGGAAAACGAACCGCACCTGACTGAAGCTAGGGAACTGTGACACTGCACCGCGGTTCTGCAACCAAAACAGAATCGCGGGCACTGTCGCCGATGCAAAGAAGACCCGGTCCTGGCCCGGCACCTGGCCTTTGGGCAAGAAGCTGTTCCTGATCACTGCCTGTGTCACACTCTCGTGGTCCCCTTCGTTTAGCAAGCAGTACAGTGGCCAGTTGTTTCCACGTGGGCTCTTCACGGCAACGTTCACACTCGTGTCGAAGATCATGACCTTGCAAAGACTCTCCTGGTTTAACATGGATTTGTGCACCATGAACTGACTCTCCTCATTGTCGACGAATTTGTAAAGGCCTCAGAAATTGCATTGGATTTCACAACTACAGCTACTGCATCAGCCACATGTACATGCCAAGTCACCCTTTTCCAAAGCAAGCGGTGGGTTCGTCACTGTGATCTCAAGCATAGGCCACGTCCGGCGCTCCATTAGCAACATGCCAATGGCACCCTCACGATGCTCTTGTCTCATTTTCACACTCTTGGGCTTGCTGTCCTTTTTTGGATCATAGCCCATCCTGAGTCATTCAGCAGTACCTGTGACAACATGACGAGGCCTAGCACGCTCCCTCTTTGCAAGCCAGGAGCTTCGTGGCAGCCTCACTCTGTTCTGAGCAGATGGCTGCGTTCGCGCAAGTGTGGCAAAGGATGAAGTCATTCATGTAGAAGCTGCGATGCTGGGCATACCCGTGAGAAGCCATGTTGTCCACTCACAGAGGTGGGGATAAGAGCTGGAAAGCAAGAAAAGCTGCTGTTACAAGGTGCATGAGCAGAGGCACTCAACATCAGAACACGAACGCTTCAGTGACACTGCCAGAGTGAGGGACATGTTCGATTTCACACACGGTCGTCACACTCTGTCTTTCTCTACCAAAATCGCTCCCGTTGCCTGAAAAAGTGGCTCGTCAGGAGCAGGGACACATCTCACTCTGTTCAGTTTGCCTCTCCGTCTCCGTCCGAGACGGGCTGCGAGTCCTCGACGTGCGTGGCCGCCAACACTGACCCTGAAGCTGGAGCCAGGCCAGACTGCGCCATAGCCTCTGTCACCCTAGCTCTTTGCGCACGGAGATCGACCAAGTGGCCATCGATCTGGGTGACCTCATCTTGCCACTCTCTTGCACGTTTCATGTTCTGGGCCTCGCGCAGCGGCATCACTGTGCTCTTGTTCAAGAAGATCTTCACTGTCACACTCGAGGCTTGCATGGCATTGATGGCAGCGGTCATAGGACCCAGGTAGAAGGCCTCAACTCAACGGCCGTGGCAGGGAAAAGGCAAAGCAGCTTTTTCTACTTTTCCGCCAAGCAACGCACAAAGGGCTTTGGCCGCGGTCCACGTACTGCAAGGACACTGGCGGACGGCTCTCGGAAGAAAGTTCTTCCACACTGATCCTGAGCTGCAAAAGTTACAGGCAGGGCCTGCTTTAGAAGCCTGAACACAATCACACGCTTTCACAGCCGGGCGTCACCGTCTTCTCACCATGCGACTGCAGCCAGAGCAACAGAGCCGCCGCGCTCCAGCTGTTGAAGAACAAGTGACGCTCGGGCGAACTTTCAATGTTCTGCATTGTGAAAGAGTTCAGCAGGACGGTGTTTGACACTGACGTGTGATCGGTGGGGTCCGTCAGGTAGTACATCGGCCAAGTCTTGGGCTCCGGACCCTCTCTACTAGCGGCGGATAGCTGTAGTTTCACACTCACTTGCTGGGTCTCGGCCAGACCTGACTTTGTCAGCAGGCTCCGAACCACGGAGCATGTCTCGCCCTGACCGCTCTTGTACAGGCCTCGGTTTGTGCTGGTCTCACAGACATTGGGGCCGGGGGGGGAGGGCTGGGCCGGAACAGAAGTCTTGTGTGGCTAAGCTGCCTTTCTCCAGAGCTTGGGGCGGGTCCAGGATGGTGATCTGAAGCACATGCCACTCACGCTCTTCCAAAACCATGATTTGGTGCAATTGGTCGTAGTTCCTCCTCCTCACTCCAATGTTTGCGCTGCTCTGTCTTCAACGAAGTGTCTTTCTGGCTTCGTTTCTCGTCATGGCTGTCACTGCTGCTCCAATGGACTTGTGGCACGTCATGCGCTCCGAGTCCGAGTCACCCTCGACAAGACCACCAAAGGCATGCTTGCGTGCCAGGCTCCGGACTACGTACGGTCTCAAACTGAGCCAGAGCCGAAAATGCTTTGGACAGCACCTCGTCACCCTCAAGGCTGCCATTCCAACTGGAAAAGACACGGACTCAATAACGCGAAGAGCAGCAAGACGTGGTCCCTGCACATCCACCAAGCCACTGCTTGCCTGGCACAGGAAGCTGCACACACACACAGGGTCGGCTCTTCTGCAACAGGAGAATGCCCGCAGTGCCTGAGTGTCTTCGGGTCGTGGTCTGTTCCTGCACGATGGGTTGACACTGAAGGCAAGGGGGACATTTTGCAGCATGTCTGAAGCTCATGTGAATGCAGACTTTGCAAGTCCGGCAGGCATTCTATCCAGGTCACGCTACCATCCCGGACAAACTGCATCACGCCCGGCGGGCCCTCCCCCCCTCCCCCCTACCCCCCCCCCCCCCCCCCCATGGTACCCCCCCCCCCCCTGTGGTGTGGTTGGGGGTTCGTTTTAGGGTTTTAGGGTTTAGGGTTTAGGGTTTAGGGTTTAGGGTTTTAGGGTTTTAGGGTTTTAGGGTTTAGGGTTTAGGGTTTACGGTTTAGGGTTTTAGGGTTTAGGGTTTAGGGTTTTCCCCGCGGATGGGGTACTAAGATGATCCCCCCCCCCCCTGTGGTGTGGTTGGGGGTTGGTTTTAGGGTTAGGGTTTAGGGTTCAGGGTTTTAGGGTTTAGGGTTTAAGGTTTAAGACTTAAGGTTTAGGGTTTAGGTTTTAGGGTTTAGGGTTTAGGGTTTAGGGGTTTAGGGTTTAGGGTTTAGGGTTAGGGTTAGGGTTTAGGTTTTAGGGTTTAGGGTTTAGGGTTTAGGGTTTACGGTTTAGGGGTTTGGGGTTTAGGGTTTAGGGTTTAGGGTTTGGGGTTTAGGGACCGTAGAGTAGGCTTTGGGGGGGGGGGGGGTAGGGGGTTGGGGATGGGGGGGCCCAGGACGCTCGACGCTGAACCATAACTTGGGGTGTTTCATACGCTCTTTACGGATGTTCTTCATTGTGCTTTCACTCACTGCGCAGCGAAGCGAAATCCACGGCCTGCTCGTGGAACCGTGGGTCTGCACATATGCATCATGCTTTTTGGCGGCTTCCTTCATTGTGTTCAGGACCTGTAGCTTGGAACCCGCCACACTGGTACAGCATCGCAAGATCTCCTCCATACAAGGGTGCTCTTCCTTGACTGACTCTTCCACAAAGAGCGCACGAGGCTTCTCACACAGAGACGGCTTGTACTTGATGCTAAGTGGCTTCTTGCCGGCTTTCAAAGCAGCGAGCAGCTGGCGTTCTTCGACCACGAACGCACCCACGAGCCGGGCCGTCAAACAAGCCACACCCAATTCGTCCCGAGTGTGACTCTGCACGACCACGAGGTGACCGGCCTGGCGGGTGTACTTGTGCACCTTCTGTATGAACTCACAGCTGCTTTTGCCGGTACAGCCTATGAAAATCTGGAAGCCCCCGTGCTGCAGGGCTCTCTGCAGGTCCGCGCTGGCTGTGCCTGACACTAGAGCACAGCCGGCTGGCAGTCCACGCTCGCCGTGCTGCGAGTCCCCGGCCCAGCGGACCGTGCTTGACGCTGCCTTTGAAATCTTCATGACCGTCTCTGGTCCGTTCTCGGCCCGCTTGCGCTTCCGGCTCTCAATCTTCCGTGCAGTTGCTCGGACTCTCTCCGAAACTTGCTCTTGCTCTTCACCCTGAGGCACTGAAATCGGGCCGAAGACACTCTGCTGCTTCCTGCGCTCTTTCTTGGGCATGGCCTGCAATGTTGCCAAGTCCGAGTCACGCTGAGCAATGACTTCCTTGTGGGGTGGTATTGGACGGGGTTGAAGCTTTAAGACTATGACAGAGGCACAAGTACAATTGCAAAAGCAGAAGGTTGCGAGTCAAGTTTCGCTAAGCGGTTCTGGAGCACCACGGTCCACCCTCTGCCTCTTCAACACCTCCTTATCTCTCTTGAGGTTGCTGTCACGTCTCTTCTTCGGAAGCTTCTTTTGCTTGTACTTGGCGCCCCACTTCTTCACATACCTTCGCAGAATGTCAAAAACGTAAGGTGACGAGGCTCCGTCACTACGCTCTTGTTTCGGAACCTCTTTCAGCAAACGTTCTTCTGCGGCCGTTGAGAAGACACCGCCCAGTAACAGGTTCACACTTGCTCTTGCGTGCAAGAGTTCCGGAAAGTCTCTGGACGCAGCCGCCCAGGCCTGTTTCAGACTCATTCCCTCCTTGTAGTTGGCCTCGGCTCGGGGCAGCAGCTTCAAGTACTCACACCAACACTGCTCGGTGTCGCGCCCCGCAGTCGCCCATATGCGCACCAGACTGGCCCGCAGTTTGCTCTTGAGAGTCTCTCTGTCACGCTCGCGAAGGTGACTGAAATCATGACTCTGCTGGTTCCAAGGAGAGGGCAAGCGATAAGAAGCGAACTGACTCTGCCAGCTCAGGTCGCTTGGAGACACTGCAGACACCATCACCTGTCAGGGCTGGATGCTGGGCTTACTGAAAGGTTACTTTTAAGTTCCTGCACGTGGGAATATTACTCGGGTTTGTCTTGGACGCTTCAAGCCTTCACAGCTGCAACGAGGTCACGCATGAGACCCAGGCACCTTGTCAAGTCCTCTGGCGTCACTGACATGACAAACTCAGTTTTCTTTGCGTACACGACTCTCGGGGTCTGTAAGAACTTCAAGACTTCCGACGTAAATCCTCGGAAAGATTCGGCCACGGCAAGGCCCTCCACGAAGAGAAGACTCACCTTTCCATGAACGTGTGCATTGCCTTGGTCACAGCGACGGGGTCAGGGTCATCCACGTCTCCTGCATGCACCCATCTGGAATGCTCGAAGAGGAGGTCGGCGAGCATGCCGCCCAGAACCAGAAGCCAGCGGCTTGAGTGGTACCCTGACAGCTCCTCCAGCAGGTACCTCGCCGCTTCCGCTCTTTCTGGATCATCACCCTCATATTCGGTGGCCAGTGTAGACACAGCTTGTTTCAGACGCACACTCAGCCGCGAATACGGTGTCTTCCTGACGGGACAGTTTTCTTGGCTATGTCTTGTCTAAGTAGTGACTCAGTGTCTCTTGACTTACTAAAGCAAAACAAAATTGCTCACAGGGCCGGCCTGCTGTCGAAACGCTGCGGAGCCCACCCAAGGTGCTTCAACACCTGCACCGCATCGGCAGCCTGTTCCTTTTGAAAGACGCTGGCATAATGCGACGATGTCGACATCAGCTTGCTGAGGCTGTACGGCTTTTTGCCTGACACTAGCAGCTTGTCTGTTTCCAGCAACTCCTCATGGTTCTTTAGAGCGTGCTTCAGAACTGTCAGGGCATTGTGACAGCTGTCCTCGCAACGAAACACACACTTCTTCAACCGAGCTGTGGCCAGATCCGCCGCCTTCAATTGGTCTGACGCTGCGTCCGTAGCGACAAACAAGATCTTCTCCAAGTTCGCTGCGAGGTCCTCGTCACTCTTCGAACCTGCAGGACAGTGAGTTCAAGGCATTCCACACTCACTCTCAGCATCTAAACTAAAGGAACAGAATCAGAGGCGCTCTTCTTTCAGGCCTTGTGTACCCCGGGCTCTGGCGTGAACATCACCCTCTGTACTATCCAGGGAGGTCCTTTGCCTGCACTCACACTTGTCACCCCTGACACTAGAGTACGTGGCAGCCCCCGTGGCCACGACCAGAGAACACACTTGAGCAACACCGGGGCTTTGCCGTCTCTGGCATCCTGGGCCAAGCCGGCAATGACACTGCCTGTGAGGATCTTGGTCGTCATGTCGGTTTCACGCTCAGCCATGACCTGGGTCAGCTGACTCGACACTCGTGGACCTGTCGATCCCTGAGGCACTTCGGCCCCACTCATGCGGGCCGTCTTCGAGAACTTGGGAAAGTTCTGAAAGGATTCACCCGTCTTGATGAGCAGCTGCTGGAATAAAACATGCACACTTCTCACCGAGAAAGGGTTTTCACGCGCACACTCTCCTTCTTGCTCACCCTCTTGAGGAAGTTGCCTTTGGAGAGCCCTGACTTCCAGAGCCACGGCACGCTGGTGCTGTCCGCTCTTCTGATGACGCTTGATGTTGCCCAGCTTCGGCTCAGCCATGAAGTTGGCCATGACACTCTGAAAGCCGTGCTTCTTGCAAACCGCACAGCCGACGTGCCACGCGTTCTTCTCTGGCTCACTCTTCTCTGCGAGCCAGGTGACCGGCAGCTCCGTCAGGGGATGCCTGTAAAAGGCTTGCTGCTTCCATGACTCTCGATTTTTGTAGTAAAAGCAACGCCCACAAGACGCCGTCCTGGCCGGGAAATCGTGACGAATCTTGTGCTCCGTCTCCGTCTCATAAACGGGCTCGGCGGCATCTGCTTCACACTCCGGCGAAGGATCTGACGACTCTGAGGATGACGAACTGGATGAAGACGAGCTGGACGACGAAGCTCCTCCACGCTGCCCCTCGGCACCTGACTCGCCTGAACTCCTGGGGCTCTGTTTCACACTCTTCTCTTGCTCCTCTGCAGAGGCCCCCTCGGAGCTATCTGTTTCTGAGGCCCCGTTGGAGACATCGCCAGACCCACTGTCACTCTGACTCTCTCTGGTCGCTCTGGATGTGTCCCTCTCGCCGCTGTCGCTGCTGTCCTGTGACTCGTGACTCTCCAAGGCTCCTGAATCTGAAGCGTCACTCGCCGAAACCGACATGGCAGGTGGAGGCGGAGGCTTTCAGACATCTGAAACGTCACCCTGCTGGGCAAGCTCCAGGCCCTCATGACGAGGCGGTTGGGGACCTCACTCACATCTGATCTGACGGGCGATGGCTTTCGGCATCACACTGCTAAGCAACGACTTCGCTGCAGTCAAGCTCTGGGCCCTGATGACGAGGTGGAAGACACCACACGACCTGGGAATGAGGAAAGCTGACTCGCACCTCTTCAAGCTGAGAATTACAGGGCACAGGGCTCGGGTAAAGCCGAACTCCCGAAAGGTCCTTCCCTGAACACCCTTGACCCGCCCAAGAAGCCCTTGAACTGCCTTAACCCCCCGTGGAGCCCTGGACAAACCCCTTGAACCTCCTTCGAACCCCTCGAAAATCCTGCAAGCTTCAACCCGGGATCTCCCTGACTGACTCTGACACGTCTCTTTTCTTGCTATCAGGATGAGCGACTCTGACATCTCACTGTGCTGCTCTGACGAGTGCAGTGTGCAGGGTCACCAGCTTAGCAGCATCACTTCCTCACAGCTCTCGGGCAAAGACACCCGCTATGGCTCGACACATGCGCGGGGGATAGAAAGCAGTCATGGCAGTGTTTCGACCGTCAATCACTTCGTGAAGGTGACCTCCAGGGCAAAGACGGTTCACGCTCTCCAAAGCCTGCAAGGTGGTGAAGACCTTCCACGCTTTCTTCAGGTAGAGGCCTTTCACACCTGTCATGCCGAAGCGGCAGCCGTGGAAAATCGCGCTGACAGTCGGCTTGCCATGGCGAGCCAGCTTCTCACGCAAGTGAACGAGTTCAGGGATGTTCCACCCTCTGGCAGACGAGGGCCACTCGAAGCAAATCTCTGCTCCTCCGCGGACAGCCGCCAGCATCACACTCACACAGTTCTTCACCAGCTTCCTGCTCTGTCTTCTTCTTTTATCCAGTCTCACCCTCTGCTGGTGCGTGCGCTGGTTCAAGTTCTGAATCTTGGACCACACTGTGCATGGCGGGCTGCACCATACCAGGCGTGGACACGCACTCTCGACGTCCTGGAGGAGTCTCTTCACACTGGACTTTTTTGACATGTCAAAGCCAGTCTCCAATGTCACCCTCCGTGCGCTCAGGCCAGCGGTTCTGCAAGCCTTGACGAGATCACTGTTTGGACCACAACAGAGTTCCCATATGAGGGGCTCACCCTCACTACTCACAGTGCTGCTGGAAGTGGTTCTCGACGACTCTGACTCTGGCTCAGGCTCAGACGCAGCTGAACCAGCAACATCCGAGTCGGTAACGGAGCTGATATCAGAGGACTCACTCTCTGAAGTGTCGCTGCTGTTGCTGACAGATGATTCAGGATCAGTTGGGCTGCCTGACACTGAACATGAACTGCCGTGGGAAGCCATGGCGGCAGGCGACCCCCCAGAGCTCTTCAGACGGGACAAGCAGGGCCTGTACCATATGCAAAGAATTCGGTAGCACAGACTTGGCCATTCACAGTCGACATGTATAATCTGGGCTATATGAGGGGCTACTACACAGTGTGAGTTTCCAACTGTTCATGAGTGGGGCCAGTACCTCGTAGAGAACCCTTTCATCAATCAGAATCCACTGAACGTGTTCCTGGGTCCACACCTGCCACTGAGCCTGGTTGCAAAGGCAAAGTTTAAAGGGCACTCTCTCTGGCTGGCTGTGCTTGCTGTCCGGAAAGGCACTCTCACTGGAGGTGCACGGACTCCACAGTCTGGGCCCCGAACGCACCGAAGTCGATGGAGTCGGGAAGCAGCCCGCCTGGTCCATCGCCTGCAAAGGGTCTGGATCGAGGCGTTTCCAATTCGTACGGTGGGGTGGGTCGGATGGTCTGCACCCAGGACGTTTAGGATTTCCAGTCATATTTCAATCTCCAGGACCCCCCCTTGTGCAAAATCCACCGTGTCGAATTCGTAAGGGGAGTGAGCAACGCTTTACCCCCCAACGCTAATCCCACCTTGTGGACCCTGGCATCCCTCTCAAGCATTGCGATCTGTCGCCCAAGAGATGAGGCTTGGTAGTTATGAGAGAGCACAAGTTCGAACCGCTGGTACACAAGCTCAAACTCTTCTGCATTGGTCAGCTTTGTTTGGGCCCTCAAACAAGCAGACGCAACCTCACCGAAGATCGTCTTGCAGTGGGCCAAAAAAGGGGTTGCCCCATCACTTCACAAGCTCGGCACTGAGGGGCACGTTCCTATTAGGGACCCGTTCGATCATCGGGGGTCTCGGGAAAATGTCCGTGTCTCTACTGAAGACTCTGGCCAGGTTACCTTTCTCCCATGGAAGTTTGAGACGCTTGCACTCACTCGTTTGGAATGCTGCACTTACAAGCAGAGAGTCAAGATTGAAGACATGAGATCCTGCATCATTAAGGCCTCGCACCCGCCCCCCAGCAGAGGAGGCCGAGGTGTCCACCTCTGGTGGAAGTTGCGCAGGCGCACGAGATTGAGACATGGCTAGTCGGCACGATGCCCAACGCGTTGCAGCAGGGGACAAGAACTTGGCCAACGCCCTAAACGGTAGCAACAACACTGGCCCGCACTTCAGCCAAGCGAGTGTCGAGCTGGGCCACGTCCCTTTCCAAAAACACAATGCGTTCCTGAAGGCCGGTAATTCGTCAATCTGAGCTCGCAGGCCAAGCAAGTCACTATGCTCGGCTGCAACCTGAAAGCGCAAGCACTCGAGAGTGTGGACCCGAGCCTCAAGTTGGTTGTAGGCTTGAACAGCAGCCGAGGGCGGCTCAGACCAGACATCCATCTGTCCCGGGCAGCGCCCGGAACGTGCACGGGCCCTAAGGGCAAGGTTAATGCAAGGATGGAGCCTGTTGGACAGCAGCGAACCGGTTTGGGTGCACGAAGCCCGGTTCACACAAAAATTTTTTCAACTCTTTCTTAAGCAACAGAGTACTGAACGAGCATATACTCGGTGCACAAGAGTGATGAAAGCCCACATGAAAACTTGGGGGGGAGGAAACACATCACGTTTGGGAAAAAGAAAGCTCTTGAGAAATTGGTCAACAAAACCAAAATTTGTTTTGCTTTCCGAAATAAGGAACTGTCCACCTCTGGTGGAAGTTGCTCTACCCTGTTTGGAGAACCCAGGTACTGGCCTGGAGCTTGGGAGGCCCCAGAGCTCCTCACTTGTTCTAACCCACAAACACCTGCCAAGGTGGCTCGGCTTTCTCGCTCTTACTAACCTCGCCATGCACCCATGCCGCAACAGCACTGGGCCACCTTACCAAGGCAAAATGCATGTGGAACCTTTTACCACCCAAATGGCAACCACCGCCCCGCCACCCAACCCCAGAAGGCCACAGCACAAGGCACGTCTATGGCGTTACAAGGGCCTGCCCCACTGCGACCAACCAGGCGAAGGGAGAGAGGTGTATACTATACTGTTAGAGAAAGTTCCGGTTCCAAACAAGTTCACACTTTGCTGCCTTGCTGCCTGCTGTTCTAATTTTAGGGGAAGACTGACACAAGACTTAAACTGGAACCGACTGAGAGGCTGATTTGTTTTACTCGCAACGAGGCTTCCCGTGTGTGAAAAAAACGCCGCAACTGGGCCCAAAAATGGCTCCTAAACTTGGGTTCCAATTTGAGCCAGCCTGGGTGGCCTTGTATGTTCACACAGAAAATCCAAAATCTAGGGCCAGTTTTCGGTGCCCAGAATTGAGCTGCTTTTGGAACCCACTTAAATTTAATAATAATTGAAATCAACTCACAAACAACAAGATTTTTTCGATTCGATACTGTTTGCATCAACACTTAAGAAAAACAAAAACGCCGTACACGCGTGTTCTTGGCTTGCTAAACTTGTCTTTAGGCACGCAAGACAAAGCAGTCTTGCTGTTCGCGTGCGATCTTTCTTGCACTGTTAGAGAAAGTTCCGGTTCCAAACAAGTTCACACTTTGCTGCCTTGCTGCCTGCTGTTCTAATTTTCGGGGAAGACTGACACAAGACTTAAACTGGAACCGACTGAGAGGCTGATTTGTTTTACTCGCAACAAGAAGGCTTTCCGTGTGTGAAAAAAAACGCCGCAACTGGGCCCAAAAATGGCTCCCAAACTTGGGTTCCAATTTGAGGCTCCAGCCTGGGTGGCCTTGTATGTTCACACAGGAAATCCAAAATCTAGGGTCCGTTTTTGGTGCCCAGAATTAAGCTGCTTTTGAAACCCATTTGAATTCAATAATTAAAATCAACTCACAAACATTCGATACTGTTTGCATCAACACTTAAGAAAAACAAAAACGCCGTATACGCGTGTTCTTGGCTTGCTAAACTTGTCTTTAGGCACGCAAGACAAAGCAGTCTTGCATTGTTCGCATGCGATCTTTCTTGCACTGTGGATTTGCAATTGATTTCTTGCCCTCTTTTTGTGTTTCCAAAATCCACACACCTTATTTCACCACCCGCACACCCACACTTGAACAGCCAGCAGAATCCAGCCGACATACGCGCAAACACACCCCCACTAAGCCACTTTGCACTTACACAATGATTTTTCACCCACACTCCACACACAACTCAGACCCGCGCACGCCAAAACCAAAACACACCACACCATTCACAATGAAAAACAAGGTAAACACACACACACACACACACACACACACACACACACACACACACACACACACACACACACACACACACACACACACACACACACACACACGCACACACAAAATACACACACACACACACACACACACACACACACACACACAGACACAAACACAGACACAGACACAGACATACACACACACACACAAACAACACACACACACACATACACACACACACACACACACCACACCACACACACACACACACA